TTGCCGACGGGTGCAGAACGCTGGGCAGATGTTTGCATCTGATCACGCCCTTTAAATCCACCCGGCATTCGTGCCTATGGCATGGCTAATTGTTTGTGTGATCACACTCAATGTACTGCTGACCCACAAACCCCAGTGTGACATTAATTAGTCAATGTTTTACCTAAAGTAGTACTTAACTCTCATTGATTTCAATTGAATTTAAGTGTGGTTATGGTACTTTTGGTTGCAGTGAGACCCGTGCATTCTCAAATACTGTACCAGAAGTACATCTAAGAAACATTTGGTGAAGGTCAATAGCTTTTGTAGTCCAGGTGTCCACATCTGTCCAGTCTTCCACAGGAAACCTTCAAGGATGGATATTTAAGCACCTTTCATGAGCAGTTTGTTAAATTGCTGAATTGCTCTGTTAGGGTTTTAAATTTTTAAAGCAATTTTATTTTTTACGTTTAAAATTTTAAAACTTACTTGTTATTTTTAATGAATACACACACACACAAACAAAAAAACCCTGAGCCCACATAAACAAAGATGCATGTATCAAATAACAAAGATGTATATATCAAATAACACCAAATATGGCTTGAATCCACTGACGCACAAGTGGAAACATAAATGGACTTACCACAGTTCTACTTGTGCAAGGTTTTGTGCAGCACTTTCCTCCATATCTCTGTCCTATGGGGTGGCAAGATTTCATGCGCTCCCTCAGCCATTGGCCCGTCGGCTGCCAGTCAAGACTACTGGCATGCCATTGGCCAGGTCTGCTCCTCTTCCCCACCCACTCCCCTTTCAGCCACTGTGCTCTGTGTCAGAAGCTCTGTGTCTCCCGATGAACACAGTTCTCTTGATTAGCTCCTGTCTGGGAAAAAGGTTTCCCTCGGTGGCTGTTGTGAGGAACTCACAGGGTTGCCAGCTCCAGGTAAGGAAGCCAGTTTAAGGTAGCCAGAGTTTGGGGAGGGGAGAGGGGAGGCCTCAGCTGAATAGAATGCCATAGAGGACACCGACCAAAGCATTCTAACTTCTCCCTCAGTGGCTGTTGGTAGGCAACCAAGCTTGGTTCGGCCAGTAAATAGACAAAGGAACAAAACCCTTTCTACGCCTCTGTGAGGAACTCATTGGGCCCAGTCCTGAGTATGGTTGCCAGCTCCAGGTTTGGAAATTCCTGCGGAGTCCTTCTGCCCCCCCCCAAATGCTGCCCTCCACAGGATCCACCCCCCAAATCTCCAGGTATTTCCCTACTCAGAGCTGGGAAGCCTACTTTCCCCTCAGTGCCTGCTGCTGGTCAACAAGCTTGGTTTCTGTCAGTAAAAGGCCCTTTACACACCTATTTTGGTCTTGGGAGAAAACCCATTGTGTCCTTCTACCCTGCTGACAGGCCCCTCCTCCCATGACAGCCAAGGTGACGTCGCAGTCAGGGCTTCAGAGCACAGTAGAGGCTGCAGGTGGGGGTGGCAGAGTGGGGCCTCAGACAGGTATAGTGCCATAGACTCTGCCCTCCAAACCAGCTATTCCCTCATGGTGAACCACTGTTGCCAAAATCCAGCTGAGGGTTGGAGATCACTCAGAATTACAACTGCACTCCGGATGGCATTGATCAGTTCCCCTGGAGAAAATGGTGGACTTTGTTTCCTTATACCCTGCTGAGTTGGCTCTGCTATGACAGCCAAGGTTATGTGGCAGTCAGGGCTTCAGAGCATGGTGGGGGCTGCTGGTGGGGGGGAGATGGACAGCTGATCAGTGAGGGGGAAACGAAGGTAGGTTGAGGCTTGGCTGGGAAGTAGATAGGGTTGCCAACTCCAGATGGGAAATTCCTGGAGATTTGAGAGATGGAGCCTGGAGAGGGTGAGGTTTGGGGAGGAGTGGGGCCTCAGACAGGTACAATGCCATAGACTCTGCCCTCCAAACCAGCCATTCCCTCATGGGGAACCATTGTTGCCAATCTCCAGGTGGGGGCTGGAGATCACTCAGAATTACAACTGCACTCCAGATGGCATTGATCCGTTCCCCTGGAGAAAATGGTGGACTCTGTGTCCTTATACCCTGCTGAGGTTGCCATGGCAAATTGATGCTGAGTGCCCATGGCCTTGGCACTCTCCCAGAGCCTCTTTCTAGCACTCATTGTATTTATTTCCACAATGGGCCTTATTCCTAGTATATTATAATGGCCAGAAGTTGGTTGCACAAGAACTTGCCCAAGCAGAAATGCAAGTTAGGATACAGTAAGTCTGACAGTGCAAGCTGTTACCAGAGCTCTCTGTCTCTCCTTTTGGAATTTCTGCTTGCAAAAAGGCTCCAGAGCAAGTAGATATTTTGCACTGGATGCCACCATATCTGTATCAAGAAAACAACCAAGCCAGGCTCCCCAGATCCCTACGTTTATCCTTCACTATGCCTAGAGCTGTGGTGAAGAGTCACACAGCAAATAATTATGGCTATTAATTATGAACGACAAGAACAGGCACAATTACATAGTGCCCACTCCATGCTATACTTGCTGCAGGACATCATAATCCCTATCTTTAATGCTCTGCTCTCCCAGCCAGTCCTGGGATGCACACATATTGGGACTCTGGAGAGGAGAGGGAGGAGTGGATCACATTATGGGTGAGTGGGAAGAGGACTCCAATGAGCTCTATAGTAGGGTTTGAATTTGCCAGCTTATAGTAGGTAAGTCTCTGCTGGCACTGCTTGTCTCTGCCAGTGCTTAATGGAATGGGGGGGGGGAATGAGTGGGAAAATGATGGAACCTGGAAGTGATGTCACTGTTTTGCAAATTTTCTTGATTTCTGTGGTTTTTACCATAGAGATTGGGGGAGATCCTAGACCTTTTGCAACATAGCGATATAACTTCTGGGTTCCTAGCCAGAAAGGTCATTGGTTGCCACACAACACCATTTTGCCAGTCCCCACTTCCCAGATGCTCCTGCTGCTATTGGTGCTGGGCTGGCAACCCTACTCAACTCTAGAGCAATTTCTTTTAAGCACCTGCAATATGATGGGTGGTGCCCAATATTAGTCTATTATATATTAAGATTACTTTTCGAAGGGGGAAAACCTCAACTTCCAGTTGCTCACACCAATTAAAAATAAATGCTTGTGGCAGGATTTGTACATTAAAATGCATATATACATGTCTAGACATATTGGGCTGGATCCTGTTGAGTTTTTTGTGTAGGAGGAAGGTCTCTTGGTTTGGAAGAAAGCACCACTGATAGTAGAATGGATCAATGGGACCCAACTCACTATTGTTATTACCACCCCTATCACCACCACTGCGACCTCTTGTAAAGTTAAAAGGAAATGAAGACCTTCCCAGTGTAAGGAATAGTTTGGTGTGTGTTTTGAGTTGTTCACTGAATTATCAACCACAGTTACAAAACAAAACAAACACCAACTGAATCACTTGATGAAAACTGAATAATAATAAACTATTTTCCATCTGTCACAGGAATGTGAGCATAGTGCTCTCCAGGGAGATGTGATGGAGCTCTTTTGAACTTTTCCCAACTGCAATGGAATGGATTGGAAGTTTAGGTATTAGCATTTAGAGGGACTGTTCAATTGTTCTGTATACCCATTGTATCAATTTGGTTACATATTTTATATTGTTATATGCTTCCTGTATAATTCTGCCATATGATACATAAATAAATTATAGATAACAAAAATTCTCCTGCAGACCAACATGACCACCCTCAGAAACTATCTAGATAACAAAAGTTCAATAAGTTGTTTACTGGACTATTTTGTAATTTCTCATGTTTCCTCTGATAAGAAAGCTAAATGAGGTGTGTCATGCTCAGCACCTTTCCCCATAAACAGAAACAGATATACTGAGATAAATCTGCAGAGTGAGGATATCTACCATTGTATTCATATTAAAAGTAGTCTATCACAACTTGAACTAATTATTTTACAATAGGTATTACTAATAAAGCCATAGGTGGCACTCTCTTTTTTGATTGGTCAAGTTTTTATGGATTCCTCTAAATACTGACTCACTGAGAAAAGTAAAGGGAGGCAAAGGATTTATTTTGTTTTCTCTTTTGGTTTACAGTTTCTGTTAAACTAACGGCTTGCTTCTCAAGGCTTTCAGTAGGAGACTTTTAAAAAAAGCTAGGCACCCGTAAATAAAGAGAAAAAGAGATGATGAACCCTGGTAACTCTTATACAAGAGTCAAATCTAAGAAATTTTCATTTGGTGCTTGCTGTACTTGGTGCTGGTTAAAGACAACTTTAAAGATCTTAAAGGCCTGCGAAGCCAATTTTATGTTCAAATCTCATATCAATTTTGACACACTTTCCACAAAACATCTGGTTGATGTAGCTATTGTTTTAGGATTGTATATATGTGGTATACAGTGAATGCATATGTGGGGAGAGTCGGATTATGCTAACTGGCCATATCCCCTCTCTGCTTGATCTCCTGGTGCCTGTGTTTTATACAATGTCAGTGCAGAAACACTGGTGCAATAGCAATTGTGCTGCCATGCAGAGACTCGGCTTGCAGCCACCCTGCATTTCCCCTTTAAGTCCAAACAAAGGAGGTTTTTCTTTGCTAAAGCTTAAAGAGGAAAGCCCCATGAGTTGTGATCAGAAAAAGTGGGCACATATTGGTCAAAATCCCACTGAGGAAGCAACTTTAGGTAAGTAAATTACATTTGGTATAATTAGATTCCCCCCCCCCCTTATAGAGTGAGGAAAGTTTTATAAAACCAGGAGCCAGAGGCAGTTCCTCTTGGTCATAAGATATCCTTACCCCCTTTTCACACATCCTGCCACTCAATCTACCTCTCTCTCTCTCTCTCTCTCTGCCCCCTACCACTTATTTGTCTAAAGTAAAACAAAACCTTCTGGTTTTTAAAAATGATGACAAATAAATGAAGGAATAAAAAAAAGTAAGCATGATTACTATGATATCTCTATTGTTGTGTGCTTACGTAGTATTTTCCACGTGTACTGCATCGGCTAAATCAAAAGAAACTAGTGCGTCTTACCTGTAGGTGTACTGCTACGAAATGAAGAGGAAGGGGTAATAGGTGGCGTGACTGGAGGTGTAAGGCTTCCACTGCTGTGGCGTGGAGGAGTAGATACATTCCCACGGGACACAGAACTTGATAAAGTCAAGGAGAGTTTTGGCTGAATTTTTTTCTTTAGGGATTCCTGTTCTCGTCGAGCTGCATCAGTCATAAACCTTAAAACGACAGTGAACAGCAATTGTAACTGAAGAAGTGTTAACATAGAACAACTGTTGCAGGACAACACTTAACACTAGGGCTGCCGACTCTGGATTGGGAAATTCCTGGAGATCTGGGGGCGGAGCCTGGGGAGGGCGGGGTTTGGAGAGGGATGGGCCTTAGTGGGGTATAAGGCCAGAGAGACCAACCTCCAAAGCTGCCATTTTCCAGCAGAATTGATCTCAGTAATCTGAAAATCAGTTGTAATTCTGGGAGATATCCAGGCCCTGCCAGGAGGTTGGCAATCCTACTTAGTACCATTTTTGCGTTATTATAGCCAAGAGCAAAGAGCTGACTCCTGTGCGGATAGCCACAAGTGAGTCACTGGGCCAGTGTGAGCTATCACTCAAGGTGCTACAAAGCCCAGAAACTGGACATTAGGGAAAAACACACCACCCATTGCCTTTGTTTTAAAAAAATTGGGAAGGGGTAACCCCCTCCAATTATATTTGCTGGTATATGTCTGCACATATGCAGTGTCACATATAGGAAAGTGCTGGAGTTTGGCTATAAAAATCCCAAATGCACAAAGAAATGAAGCGGTGTGGAGGCACAAGGGGATGAGCAGGAGGAGAATGAGACAGCAGAGGTGGGAAGGGGAAGGGGGGAAGTGACACCAACCACGAAGACGGGGAGGAAATTGGATTGTTCCTGCATTTCATTATGGTTCCCCCTCCTGTGTCTTTTCTGATTTTCTCAAGTTGTTTTGGGAGATACAGAGGTGGGAAAAGACTAAAGAACTCCACATCCAATTTCCATAACACTATGGACCAGTAACAGATTAAAAAAAAATTCAACCTGCAACCAACAAAGCGGAATGATTAATTCAAAGAAATCAATCTTCAGTCTTCCATCCCACAGCAGTCTATTATCCTACCACCTCCCCTGTCCCTTGGTGCTAAATCACAAATTCTGTTTTGTATCTCTGGGCCTGCAAAGTTTTCTCTTGAGCCTTGGCTTTCCCTTTTTTCAGCTCGGTCCTTTTCCCAGTTTGGAATGGGTATTAAAAAGCCTTACGTGGTCAGGCACATGGCACCTGACACATCACCTGTTCCCAAGTGAACATGCCCATTTGTTAGGACCTTTAGTTGGGGCCGTTTCCCAGCATCCCCACACCATCTGAAGTGAGGCTGGTAGAATATCCTTCCTCTGTACAGTTTCCGCTGGCACAATTATTATTTTGCTGCACCAGGTGTTCTGCTGCAGATCCCTTGGACTTCCATTCTACCATACTGTCTTTTTGTACACTGGTATTTGACTGTTTCCTCTGAGCTGTAATCTATTCTATTATATGAAAGAGCAATACTCAGAGGTCCAAACTGAGAAGTTTCAAATGGCTACCATCTTCATGGAAGGATGCAAAACATGCGCCAGGAGTTTCAGCTATGTAGTGGAATGATCTGATTGCTTTTCTCCTGACACCATTAACATTGGATAATAGATTCATTTTGCTGTGAGGAATTGTTTAGCTGCTTCCAACACTAAATTTCTCCCTTGAAACTACAGAGACTTTGCTTGCAGAAGTCCAAATTTTCTGTAAGTCATGAAGAAGTCTTAAAATGAAAAGCTGGTATTTTTTTTTTAAAAAACCCATTAAAAAAATGATAATCTTTTGGTTTTGTTCTTTGACACATTTATCACAATGCATGGAACACTTATCAAATAACTGTTTGTACTGTATTATGAGAGTCCCTTGGACTGCAAGAAGAACAAATCAGTCAATCCTCAAAGAAATCAACCCTGACTGTTCCCTGGAAGGCCAGATAATGAAACTGAAGCTCAAATACTTTGGCCACCAAATGAGAAGGGAGCACTCACTGGAAAAGACCCTGATGCTGGGAAAGATTGAAGGTCAAAGAAGACGGGGACGGCAAAGGATGAGATGGTTAGACAGTGTCAGCGATGCAACGAACATGAAATTGAGCCAACTTCGGAGGACGGCGGAAGACAGGAGAGCCTGGCGGGAGATTGTCCATGGGGTCGCGAAGAGTCGGACTCGACTGTGCGACTGAACAACAACAACTGTATTATGCCCCAAAGATAAAGATATTTTCTTTGGACTTGCATGTCAGCAACCCAGTTCTGAAAAGAGGAATCGCACACAGAGCTTTCTTTCCTCCAAGGTGTACCACCACTGTGCTCCTCCTGCACTATGGCCCATTATACCAGCCCCTTCCAATCCTGGTGCCTCAAGCCAGGTAGCAATTTTGCACTCTAGCGAGAGGGATAGTTATATATAACCCCATTCCAGTGAAGAAAAGAGAGACAGATAAAAGACTGCCAGCATGTCTCAGGCAAGAGGGGGGGGGGAAGGCAATACCCCCCCACCCAAGGCCAAGATGTTAATGAAGCAGATAAACTTGCCACTCCTTTTTGAGTATGAGCTTACTCTTTTAAATTGCCAGTGAATTACACTGGCGGCATGTAGAGGGTTAGTCCTCTAGCAAAGTGGCATAAAAACAAGTCTTATGAGTCTATCAGCTTCTGCAACCATACAATGTTCTGATTGAACTCACAGATCCAAAATGATTCAGGAAGAAAGTCACTAGAACATGGATCATATGGGGTAGAACAACTTGGGGTATCATGAGGTTGAACAACTTGGAAATCCTACCACAACACACCCTTCAAGATTCTCAGGTCTCAGGGGCCTGAGCTGCCTATTTATCAGTATCCCATTTACTGCTTTCACTGACTCTTAACATTCTGTGTTCCAGCAGCTTCACATTTTACCAGGCCTGTTTGGGGGGTGGGGCTGGGGTTGTCGCTTTAGCTATTTTACAAAGCTCTATTTCCTACATACTGATGGAATCCCCCCACCCTTCTATGTGGCTGATCTGGTTTTGCTGCTTCTATGACCAGCATGGAGGCCAGACATTTTATTGTTTGATATGGGGATAAATAAATGCCATTTTGTCCTTTGATCATTCTTAGCATCTGGTGGTATTGTACAAGGGAAGCACACTGCACTAGAAGCCAAGCAGAGCTCAAGCATTCTGAGTCTGCAAGAAACTTTTAACATAGTTTCCCCTCTCTCCTTGGTTGTAACACATATATTCACCCTCAAGGGTCATAAAAATGTTAACATCATTTCTGAAATGTCATAAATAGACCATAAAATTGGGCAGGGCACCTCTGGATCTTGATGAAGAGTGCCTATCCCACTGAATCCCAGGGCCTGAAGCCAAATACGACAGGATTTCTGTGGTGGTAGTACTGAATTGGTGAGAAAAAGGAGGAATGAATCTCAAGGTATGGACAACATCAAGTGTGAAGGCTAGTTTTTGTGCTTCATTTCAACTATGTCACCAGCTATAGCACTTTACTTTCTACCTCAAAGATAATGGCTTCCTTCCCTTGACTTCTGTGGGTGAAAGTGAATGCAAGTCACGATAGGATGTAGAGTTGCCAGCTCTGGATTGGGAAATTCCTGGAGATTTGGAGGCAATGCTTGGGGAGGATAGAGTTTTGGGAGTTTTGGGAGGGGGAGGAGTTAGAAGGGATGTGAGGCCACTAGGGCGTCCAAGCCCCACTTCTGAGAAAACCCAGAAGTGATAGTGGGTAGCTTTAGGAACTGCTGGGAACTTTATGGTTAATATACGGTTCCTAGTGATTCCTAGAGCTTCCCACCATTACTCTGGCAAGCTACCCTCCCACCATGTCCCCGCCCCCAACCCTCCCACCAGCTGGAAGACTCAGCCTGGCAACCCTAGACGCCAGGGGAACTGGTCTCTGTGGTCTGGAGATCAGCTGTCTTTCTGAGAGAATGCCAGGCCCACAACTGCAGGCCAGCAACCTTACATGAGATGATGGGCACTCTGCTAGTACAGTGATAATAACCTCGTTATCTTATTGTCTCCAATGAATTGTTCAACATCCAAATTAGCGCTTTAGAATTTCCTAGTGAATCACCATTGCCCTACATTATATAGGTTATAGAACATTTAAAACGATGTATGACACTATTAGGCCCCAAATGTATGGGTAACCATTAATTAAGTAGATGGAATTAAATGTTTGAGAGTTCTAACATTAAAAAATTTATAATGCCAATAGATTACGCAAACCAGATCACATAACTATCAGATCACCTATTAAACCAATACCGAGTCAATTGCCAGGAAAACAAAATGGCTCCAATAATGAGAAGCCAACCATTATTTTTCTGCTGTTTTCCCCACCTCTGCAGTGACCTCTCTAGATTTAACTTTACCAAGTTGGCATAGCTCTTTCAAGCACGTCCTCTTACAGAGGTAACTACGGTCTGTCTGTCTACCTTTTAGTGGTTCATTACCAAAACTCGTCATTAATTACTGACAAAAACCAATTTTCAGAGGGATAGCTGCATAAACCAAAAGAAATGCCATCTATTCTGGCTGTAGCTACACAGTTATTAGCTTGCTCAGACTAATTTTTCAAAAGGCTGCATAAAAATGGGGTAATAAACCACTGAGTACAGTTTAATGCAGCAATTATAATCCCAGAATTCACCTTCACAGCAGTTAACAGCTAGCTTGTTAGGGCATTCATCAGCCTTGCTTTTGCTTTGGGTCATTAATTAACAAACCAGTCATCACTTGCTGCTAACAATACAAACTTGATGTGTTACTGCTTAATCATAGGAAATAGCTTTATGGATGCTTCTATTTCATCTCACATCCTCTGGGTAATATGGTTCACATCCTTTACTGTATTGTACAGTAATTAAAAAAAAATCTTTAAAAAGCTACAGTGCGCATTATTGGATTAGACAATGTAATATCTCTTTAATAAAATGAATTTATGCTGTATTTAAAACATATTTTGAAACAAACCATTAATTTGTTTAATTTATGCCAGACTACACAGAGTTTATGAAATGACACAAAAACCCATGGTAGGAGGCCTAAAGCTCTCCAGGGAAAGGATTTTATCATTCCCCCCCCCCCAAGTAGTTGTGGAGGAAGTGATTAATAGA